AAGAGTGTACGGAAAGTCTTTTTCACATCTCCAGTGTTCATACGCATACGTAATGGTTCTGAAGTCAATGAGAAATCTGTCTAATAGCTCTGGATGCACCTCTCTAGCCATCTGTTTTCCTTTTGGGCCATTTTGCTCAACTCAATTTGATGAACAGTTACAAAGACTTATATTCTCTTTTCATCTGTGCAACACAGGTCATAATTGCTTGAGGCTAGAGAAGCACTGCATTTCACCCAGCATGGAGGGGAAGGGTCAAAAAATAGCAGGAGAAAAGCTTCTGTTGTGCTCACAATAGAAGACAGCATGTTCTGTACCTCACAGGTGACATTGTCAAGAACAAGCGTAGAATTGTATGTGAGGCTATATGTGAATGCCACATCATTTTTGGAAATGCTGAGCCTAAGTTCAGGTGGGTCTCAGTCCTGTGTTTAGATCGGGAAATTGAACACCTAATGGCATGACTTACATGCAGAGAAAAAATGAGGATTCTGGACTACAAACCAGCGTACAATGTGCAGCTTCATGGGCTTCAGCCCATCTGCTGCAGCATTTAGCACTCCAGAATATGGCATCAGAACACAATGATTAGAAATGCAAAGGCTGCTTTGTGGATTGACCCTGAAGGCTTTCTGACCTCTACAAACTGCAGTTAACATGCCTGACTGTATCTATTTCAAGAACATTTTTGTTATTATTTTTCTATGAGCAAAGGAGAAGACTGGTTTTAGGCTGTCCCTTGACAGACGAAGACTGAACGACAAGATTTAAAAGTTCTAAACCGCCTGCATATAGCCTTCCTTCCTGTAGTACTATTTGTCTATAAAGAGCTTAATTCTTTGAAATGCAAATATAAGTTGGAGTACTTTATGAATTTATGAGTATGAAAAATGAATGCATCTAGGTTGCAGCAGGAAAAGATAGGTATTTCACACAAATAGCATATTTGAAAGCTAGTAAATCATTTTGCTAGCCTACTTCCCCTTCTAATCTCACTTTACACCTGTATCTGACACTGCAAGTAATCTTATGACAGGAAAAAATAACTTTACGTTTCTATTATGAGATGAGAAGGTTTCCAAAGGAGAGGTTAAAATCACTCCTCACGTGTTGCTTCAGATGCAACACTGATATCCTTCCTTTCTCCTTCCATGACATAAGCTTTTCAGACGGCGGTTTCACTCAAATGCAGTAGATGCTGTTTCACTCATATTTCCATCAGTGCTGTGTAAAGCCCATGCAGGCAGTCTCAGCTCACTTACTCTGGCTGTTCTCTAGGGTCCCAGGTATCATCAAATTCAGATCCTTCTGGGACCTCCTCTGTATTCCAAATAGTTTCCCTGTTTTCAGATTTCACTTGAAAAGTACCTGTAAGTGATGAGAAAAATCACACTGTCATATTTTGGATGTCTCTGTTCTTCTAGTTTTGATGAAAACTTAGATTTTTCTAGGCTTTAGAAAAATCTTTGTATTAAAAGCATTCTAAGTAATGATTAGAGTTTCCTTCACCTCGGTATCTTATGAATGAGAATTTGCAGATGGAGGATGTTTACCTTTCCCTTAAATCTCCTTTATCCACCCCCTCTATGTCAAGAAAATTCTCCTTTCAGGCATAAAATATCTTGCACTTCAAAATGGGTAAAGTGTAGGATTACAAAATATTAATCTTCCCCAAGCCCCCTGACGTGAGATTTTTAAGTGAGCAGAGCCTTTTACAAAAGGACCTCCTCCTCACACAGAAATCCAGTTCTTCCCATTAATTACTGAGCACAGCCCAGATAAGGTACTGAAGACACATGAAAGTTCATGGGCAGAATACTATGATTTATGCCTGTCCTACAGGAAAAAAAAATATATATTTTCTAGTAAGCTGGTAAATCTGCAACTTGAAGGCTTGTATAGTAGAATCTCTGGTTATTGTTGGAAACCCAAGCAAAAATACTCCATTTGTTATATTTGTCACACTTCTTTTCCTGCTACACTCATCCTGGTGCTTGTTGACCTTTCTTACAGCTCATAACTAAGCTGCCCAATAATGTGACAGCATTAGCTCCAGGAAGAACTTTACATTGACTTTGCCAAGACTAAACCTGTCTTCCTTTCTTTCCCGAGTACAATCCAAGGTGTTGACACAAATTTAGGAACCCTAAGATGTTTGTTCCTATTGTCTGAGTCTGCCTTTCCACACGACGATGCCAGAATACCTGGAGCCAAATAAAACATGTAATTGTACAGGGTTTCCAGGCAAAGATTTGGGTGCAGAAAGGAGAATAACCGAAAAACATCTCTCATTCTGTTGAGGGCAGCACTTAACAAAGCTTGTATTTCTCCCTATGGGTGGTCTAAATAGGGCTGTGAAACTTTGAGGGAGAATATGATATGACTGCACTTCACGGTATACTTCATAGCTCTTCCTGGCATAGGCTCAGTTCCACACAGTTTACTCCATGAAGATCCTTTCAGGTGACTACTTAGAAGTCCAACTTCCTTGTTTATTCTAAGTGACCATTAACAATTCCATGAGAGTACTTGCATGGAGATTTTTGTTCCTCAGTTACAATTCCCCTCAGCCTGCGACCAGGCTGTGCTTTGTACTCTTTATCATCACCACTGGAGGCTGCTGTGGTCTGGAACTCCCCTTTCTGCATCTCTTTGTATATTTGGCAGTTAAGCTTTCAAGAAAAGAAGAATTTTACAGTGTAATTGTAAAAATGTAATGTTATTTCCATCTCAGAGGTCAGTGACAGCTCTCTTCTTGAAGCAAACCTCATCAGTGGTAACTTACTACAGCTGTTATAGTCTGATAACACAGGACTGAATGCTGAAACATACAAGCAATTCTCCTTACCAGTGGTCTCTTTCTTTACTGGTCCAATACTACCAGGAGTCATGACGCTAACAGAACAGTGTGGCTGCAAAAAAGGGGAAATGGAACTTCAATCAATTTTCATGGAGCCCAGCTCAGTAAAAATGGTAATGTCAATAAATATAAAATGTTATCCAAGGTCAAACAAATCCCTGCTAGAATCCAAAATATATTATCCCACAATTTCATGACCAAACCACTGAACATTCTCTCTTCTTCACTCTCAGCCAGCAGGAAGTGACTTTGACACAGTGGGTTTAAGCAGGTCTCCCAGAAGCACAGTATTACAGACAGATGTGCTTTATGAGTACTAGTTTCCACGGCATTTTGGCAAAATTTCCATGTTTGCCTGACATGAAAATATTGCAGGAAACAAAGGGTGCTATGTGAAAACCCTATCACAGGATTTGGATTCCTTTTGACAGTAGAAATCATATGAGGCAACAACATTTTCCTCTAATTACGAATCAATTTAGTGCTAATAGGCCAATGTGAGGCATTTCTCTATATATGAAGATTCCTTGGTTTTATAAAAGTGCCTCATATGCACAGAACATTAAATTAAATCAAAATAAAGATTTCAGTTTGCCCAGATTGACTCAGACTTAATTGATATCCCTTGTAGCAATTATCCATTTCTGTCTCTGAAGTGTCATTCATTTTATTAATAAGATGTAAACAAATTATTTTAAAATCAGGGTGTTTACTGCAAAGATGTACAGCACTAATGCTAGTTTTAAAAGGCAGGCTTTAAACAGCTGAAGTGTAGTTAGAGCATGAAAGACCAAATCTACCACCTACTGAAAGGAAATTTCAAGGCATATGCACCCGTTTTATCCGAAATATTGCTACCATTGCCACTATTAGCGCACAGCTACTGGGTCAGCCAGCTAGCTCTTTGCTGAGGAGTGATTTTAAGGAACACTGAGGCATTTACCATTTTTGTTATCCATGACATGACTTCTTCAAAATCCTAACAGACTTGGTAAAGTGTTAAGCCTTCACAGAAGCCTTCTGCATTGTGATTGTTGGCACCTGTGGCCCTCCTGGGATATTTCTCACCAGCACACATGCATGCCCAGATAATAGCAGCAGTTGCATATTGTAGAAGCAACGTACACTAGCCCTGAAATGAATTCCTATAGAAGAACAGAAAGATACTTCTCTGTCTTTCATCATTGAGATCGTTCACCTGAGAATGATCACTCACCCTTCCCTATTCTATAGTCACCAACATCTCTATTGTACTTCAGTGGTCAATTATCTCTACAGCTCTTCAATGCCTGACACACAGAATTTGTACACTCTGTGCATTTTAGTCTTTACTAAGAAGTTGAGCAATAACTTTTTTCCCCATCATATGAAGTATTTAGCTGTGATTGACTTCATCTTTGGCAGACACCAGGGAAAGTAGGGGGAAGCCTAAATTATCTAAAGCTCTTTCAACTACATGTTTTAATTTCCTTCAGGCTGAAAAATTAAATCTCCCTCACATTTTATGGTCACAATCTCTCCTAGTTTTCCTGGGGCATCATCCTTATTCGCTCCCTCAAGAGCTTGTTACCCTAAAAGTATCTCCCAGATGTTTCAGAGAGTCCAAGACCTTCTAAGGTTTTCATTCCCTTTCCACTGACTCTGCGAGAAGAAATTTGCTTACCTCAGTTAACAAGATTAGGTTATGGTACAACACGTAAAAGAAGCAGTACTTCTTATGAAAGACTCACCATGCGCTCATCATCATCAAAATCATCCCCTTCTTGAGCATCATGAAGCAGTTTGGCAAGTAACTGCAGAGAAGAGCCTGAGGAAACACTGTCCATATCAACACCCACTGCTCACCTATGCAGAAAAAAAAACGACAAATGAGGAACGAACAAAAAGCATTCGGCACTGTCTGTAAAGCACAATATTCCTGCT